TGTATATATGTATATAGGCCTATATATATATAATTATTATTATTCTGATCAAATACTCTATTTACAAATATCATATACGAATATAACAAATAAAACGTCTAATACCTATGCCAATATTTATTATGCCTATACACACTAAAATAAAAAAGAGGACAGAACACGTGAATAAATAATGAAAATGACAAAGATATTTGAAACTCTAACGTCCCAGAAAATCTTTAAAATGCCGAGTTTGACGTCAGGGACTGCACCAGGCCAGGCCAGGGGTTTAGAAATGACCACTTGGTTGTGTTGGGCTTCAGCCCATGTCATCTCTCAAGCCCCTGGTCAATATGTACATTTCTTATTCGTGACGAATTTTTAATAAATAAATAAATAAGCTCTATGCAGACTATCACATCTGATGTGACGAAATTGCGTAATGTGCCTATGTATGGTATGATGATGTCATACTATATCCAAATATGGGCATATCACATTTATTGTCAAGTAAAATTTAGAAGTGTGAACAAAACTTTACACCCAGGTAGTCTCCTTTAAAATTCTCAGACCCTCTGTCGGAAACTTTAGCCTCTGAATACGGTATGTCTACCACGGACGATGCTTACACGTATAGAGTATATCTCGTTTGTCTTCTCACTTTGTTTTTCGAGTTCGGATATCTTCTGATCTTTTATCCTACATTTCAGTTTTAGTTGTTTGTTTTCATTTTCTAGCTGCTGTGAATAAATAGGAAAAAAATAAAATCTAAGCATACAAATCAAAATATTGATCTTTAAGACAACTGGAGCAATGTTTAATAAAAATTTAATTGTTTCTACATGTCGTGTTTCGTGGAAAATGCTCTCTGTTTCAGCAGACATTTTTCAAATATTGGCAGATCGGTCACCAAAAAGAGAGCATTGATATGCCCGACCTGCCAATTAATTTCAATCAAAGAAAACCCGGTCCTACAAGAGTCCTTGATCCATATAGAATCAAGTCTCTAAAAATCGTATTCTCAATTTTATAAATCATGGCTTCTACACCTTTAAAAATAGGCTTCGTGTCGTTATACACGTATCTTTAACACTTCTTAAAGATTAAGTGTTTAAATGATAGCAGGCTTACACACTGGAATTAATTAAGCATAAATAACACGACAATGCAGTGGCGTAGCTAAGGGGGGTGGGGATCAAGGAAGGGCACGTTCCCCGGGCGCCAGGTTTGTGCAGGCGCTCATCCTTCTCTGAGCCACGATGGGAAAAGTAAGACTATCTGCTTTGGCACTACTTACTATTGAGCGTGATGAAGCAGACAAAATTGCTAACTTTGAATATGTTATTAACTTATTTGCTGATGCAAAAGCACACAAAATTCAGTTGCGAGTTGAAACAATGTTAAAAATTCAGCAACTTACAAAAGACTCTACTAGGCCTATAAGATAAATTTAGAGAATAAGAATACAAGGCTGTATGCGATAAATACAAATTAGGATAATAGTGAAGTTGTATACAAAGTTCCGAAAACATCGTGATGCAGTTTCAATAGTAAGAAACAGGGGTGGCACCAGGTACCCTTCGGGGATAGCTGCGCCCCCCCCCCCGGGATAAAACCATAATTCGTTGGGGAGAAAAAAAATTATATGTATTTTGTACATATTAGTAGACTCTAAAATCGATGAAATAAGCCTTCGAAAAACATAAATTGTCAAAAATTTTCGAGGGCTTCGCCCCCAGTCGTCTCATCAAGGCATCGGGCCCCCGATGTGTATAAGAGACAGCTCCCCACCCACTCGGGCAAATCGTGGCGCCACCCTGGTAAAAAAGAACATATGAGAGCTAGAATAATAATAGTTATTCGGGTAAATAATTTTATTTAGACAGTGCATGATATGGACGTATGGTACGGATATGGTTAAAGTCTATACAACTAATATCAATTTATTTCAAAATATTATAATTATAATGTGGGGGGAGGGAAGGGTATGCAATTTTCTACTCTTGCCCCCGGGAGCCAAAACCACTAGCTACGCCACTGCGACAATGATACATAAATATTGGAACAACACTTCAGAAATTTAATTTATTCAACAAGTAGGCCTATATATATTTTTTCACTCTAGCGCGTGCACAACAAGGTTATTATTTTATTTCCTTTTAAGCAGACACATATTTAGGTTTAGTTTAGAGTAGGCCTATTTTTTACTTCGTATCTTAATTTTGTATAGGCCTACCGTATCTATTATGAGTTTTAAGAGACACCTCTGCAATGCATGTAAACTAGATCTGCTTGATTTTTTTAAACAAAATTGTTATCTTATATAGGCCCATACAAATAACAATGACATGACAACAATAGAAAAATATTAATAAAAAAAATTCTGAAATTACATTAAATTCAACGAAGTGTACTTTAGCACTAAGAGCAGGCCTACTTTATTTTTTATAAAAGGCGTTAACATCCTGATCTCTCGCGTCTGCGCACAAGAGGCAATGTCGACGGCAATATGTAAAGGGGTTTCCCCTTTTGTTAAAGCTCAAATGACAAAAAAATTGGCATCAATGCAGCTGTAAAAGCTCCCTTGTCATTTAACCAAGCCTTACATTTTATATTGTTACAATATATTTTAAGTCCAGTAATTAAAATAGAATTTAAGAGATGACCCCGATATTCATGACGAAGAAAAATGGGTTCTCTTCTCCTGAAAGCTGCCGTTAAGTAGGGTGCATGAGTGTGCGACTACTACTACAAATAGCTAAGGCGATTGTAGGCTTAATTTTAAGTGCACGTCAAAAATTAAAAGACAGGAAGTAAAATGTATGCCTACCAGTGTATCTGGCTCTTTCTCCAAGATATGTTGTAAGTCCGTCGTCCTAACCTCACCAACCATGGTCCAATTTGTAGTTTTTACGTAAAATAATATTGTAATTTTGTAAAACGCGTCGTTGTTTTGACAATCTGTTGAACACTGGCCTGGTAGTGGTCACGCGACTCTTGTAGTCAAACAAATAATGACGTAGTCGACGGCTATTGAGGGAGGCGCACTTCATTTCAGATTAACTGCAAAATCCAAGTTTTGAGAAAATTAGCAAAACGTGTTTGGTTCTAGCCAAAGGAAAGTACAAATGATATTTAATTCTTCGAAATATATTTTTCAATAGCATACTATTAAACAATTTTTAAATTTTTGAGGGTCAAAATTCATATGCCTTTTGTTTAAAAGTATTGAATGAATTTTAAATTAGTGCATGAATATTGTAAATGTATGTCACTATAATTTAGAATAAAACACACTTGATGCAGGGAGTTGTCTAAATAACAACTCCCTGCTTGATGTGTGCCGGTAGAACTTGTGTGGGTTAGCTTATTGTCGTTTGGGGGGGGGTGGCAGGGGTTGACGATGCTGAGGGTGAACCTCTGGTTGTATTTGTATGGTAAATTTGGAAAATTTGGAAAATTGAAAAGTTACCTATATTTTAGTAGTGTATATAGTTATGTTTTTAATCAGAGGCCACACCAACCTATTTCAATTATCTTAATCACCATCATCATCATCGTTATTTTATCTTAGTTATGATTGGTCATTGGATAATAATGCTACTAAAATGTTATTCTTAAATTCTCATAAATTTTACAGACACTAAACATATTTAGAGCACCACTTTTATAAAACAAATTAAATTGATTATAAAATGAAATTAATTATTTCAAACATGTAAACCAAAAACTAAGGATACATCATAATATTTTGTACCGTATCAAATTAGGTATATACATGTTTCATCATCATTAAACAATTTAAATTTAAATTTAAATATAAAACTTTATATAGCGCTTTTTGCCAATAGATACAAAACGCTGGGATATGTAAACTTGGGATCTCCATCAATAATCAAGATGGCAGAATAAAAATTACTACAAACTACTTACAATGTACTATTTATATTGTTATTTATAGATTGTTAATATTAGGTTTTTAATAATTTAGCAAAAAAATAATTAGAAATACACATGAATAAAACAATTAAAACTATTTGTGTAAAATTATTAAATTTAAAAAAAGATGCACAGAATTTCGCATTAAAATCAATATATACAATAATTACACCTCAAAAGGCTCCTAAATAAAGCTGTCAAAGTAAAAGAAATCGTCAGGGTGTTATTAAGTTTCGTACAAGTTATTAGAGAAAAACAATGTAGATAATGCCTTCTTTCGAATTAATCCTCAGATAAAAGCTGGAACAAACTAACCATTAATTATTATAATCTAATTAATATTCATCACACTGGCACCTGATTGGATAACTGCTTCCTGCTGTCTGTCAACCGTTCAATCATGGTCCTTATTAATGGTTCAATGCTGCATTGTAGGGTAGTTAACGCCTTGTTCCAAATTATTTGTAGTGGTGTCTTTTTTTTAAATAAATATAATATTTAGAGTAATATTTTTGGCTTTTTGAGTATACTAAGGTGACAGATTATACCCTTAGGAGTCATTTAAGACAAAAATTTTGGAAACAATTTAGTTAGTGCCTTTTTTCCGAATGAGGGCAGTATTGGCTGCCCGAGTTCAGACGTGATATCTAGATGACGCTCTGAGTCATAACTGCAAGTATCGAAATGCACGCCATCGTGTCGGGACTCTGATTATTTCAGTTCTTTTCACAATGCCTACAGGTCACGATAATTTTAATTTTTGATTACAGTACAATATAAACAGCCATAACAGAATACACAATACTGTACTGTTCTTTTTGATAATTAACAAATTGACGTTTATGGCTGTTAGGTTTTAAATTATTATTTTCAAAATTTTAAGGAAACTAGGCGTTAGCATAAAAATAAAAACAAGCAGACGAAAATGCAAATGAGAGAGAACAGTTTTAAGTTTCGTCCACAATCAGTGGCTTAAACAATATATTATTCAAAACATTTCTTCAAATGGTTTCAATACCTTTGTTGTAAAGCAACCTAAATAAAGTAGATCAGACCATAAAATTAAAATTGAGTAGGAAATTACTGGATACTTCTGAGTTCGTTGAAACATGACTGTGTGCTGATGTGAAAACTTTTACCATCACAATTCTGAACGAATTAGGTTTGCAACATTGGTAAAACAATATCATCGTTGTTAGAAGTAAACTGTATGCATGCAAAGTTAATTAGATGATTGTAAAATATTCACCATAATAGAACAGGTATGCGATATTAAAATGTTATAAAATCTCATTCAAATCTATTTATCTTCTAGCAAGCTGTAACTATTACTACAATACTAATATAACAATAAATTAATTAAAGATTGTCACTATTTACCAACTTCTTTTAAATATCATCCCATTTTCAACCAAAGAAAGTGCAGGCCTATATCAAAATTAAACGCAGGAATTGGAAGTATTTGGTCATTAGTACATGTGCCAATTCGTAGTTTTAACCGCGCATGCCCGTATCAAGTTCAATCGACCTTATCACACACAACATAGGTTTATGTCAATTGACCTTGGATACAGGCATGAGCAATTCAAACTACGAATTGACTTATAGAGGACACAAAATTTATATCAGTATTACAACTATCATTTAAAAAACTTTTTGTACAGTTCAATTCAATTTGAGAATTCCAACATGTAAATATTAGTTGCATAGGCTAAGCATTGACAGGCAAAAGCAGGAAGTTTATACATGCCAATGGTTAAACAAGCTTGCGTGGGTCTGGGAAGGGGGTTAATGTGTATCAAATAAAACTCTGTACATCTACCTTATACAATCAAAAGAGTATATTATTATGTACATAACGTATCTGTTATATAAACGCAAATAGAAACAATTGGAAAAAAATAATGTATATTACAGTACATTAACACCTAATGTTAAATCAACTGATATGCATATAGAGCAAATATAAATATTCATAAATCAAATTATACAACCTTCACACTGAGTAGCATGAATATTCATGTCAGGGAAGGGACAACGATGTATGGTAATTCACTACATTTAGATCCACGATTCAAGACTGCATTTATTTTGCTCAAGAGCTAACAAATATACTCTTGAATCATTAAAACATTTCCATATTCCTAAAAATTAATATTCCACAACCGCGACAACACGTTCTTTGACCCTATTCACCTCGGTTTGTATCTAATATTTATCATGTAAAAAAACAACAAAAATAAATTCAAAATAATCTATCTCTATAATATTACTACAGTATGTAACGAGCTGAATATATTCATGCAGTCTGTTTAATATTCAATTGAGTTGCACAGTATATACATTATAATTTTGTCAAATTCAGGCAGCATTAACATTTCTAAATATTAAAGCAGATATGGAATTATTACACAATGACAATGCAGCTAAGTAGCATTTTGGTCCATTAATTATTTAATCAACTTAAAAAAAAAATGTTTACAAATGTATAACAATAAAGTACTGAATATAGCATACTATTCTACTGTAAACTACTGCCCTCTTTGTGTAATACTAACTAAAGAGGCCAGTATATAATAATAAATCATCTACACTAAAACCATTATAAACAGTTTACTAATTTGAAATACTAAAGAATAAAGTTTAAAAAAAAAAATTTTGTACTAAGTATAGCAATAAATGTACAGAATATACATGTATGTATATGTGTATAATATGTATTACTGTACATTGAATATTTATTAAGTACCGCCCTCTTTGTATAATGTTAACGAAAGAGGTCAGTTCATAATATAAATCATCTACACTAAAACCATTATAAACAGTGTATTAATTAAAGAAAAAAAGGAGATACAGCTACTAATAATCAGTATGAAATAAACAATACATTTGATATAAAAATGAAAAATCAATCATCATAAAGCTGATTAAAAAACTTAATTATTATCTATAAAGATAACTTTAAATTTCTGATGTGACTGCATTTAAAGATAATATCCTCTTACTGAAATGATAATTGATATTTTTCTGTAACAATATATTTATCAATTACTAGAATAAATTATTCAACGGCTAATTCAAATACTGAAGGTAACTATTTTAATAATAGAAATGAATAACATAATTTGTCCTGAGAAAAGTGGAACAAGTTTTAAACAAATATATTCAAGAATAAAAAAACGAAAAACGAAAATTCAAAAACATTATAAAAACATGAATAAAAAAAATCCAAATATTATAGTAATTAATTTAAGTTACTTGAAAAAAAAAAACTAGTATTGGTCATGTGACCAAAAGATTCCACTAAAACTGACACATACTGATATTGCCATGTTTTAAATGCACACATTTTAATTGGTTGTAGAACACGGGTTACTGCATTTTAAACTAATATTTGTTACATGACCTATTAATGACCTACCTTATGAATTATTCATGCATTATCACAAAACATTTAAATTATAAATGTTTACAAATGCACACACTTGAATCAGGCTTAGAACCAAATTCTTAATCGTTGACTGCTCTAATTACCCTACTTACTGTTTTACCTGTTTACATTTTACTTTCGTAAAGTAAAATTTAGTTATTAGGAAACTAAATGCACAGGTACATTGTACTGTTTGCAAATACTGATATATTATTTAGAAACGAAATTGTAAAAAGATATTTACCATGGCAGTAGATAGGGTATTAGATTGACCAGTATTATGATTTATAATATTTTACATTCAAAGCTATTTTTATTTTTTTATTCTTACAGCTGTTTAAGACAAATACTTTTTACAATTGATATTTTTTAAAAGAAAAAACTGTTAAATTGTACCATCTTTTATTTGGTAATGGTTATACCTGCTTGAGCATATAGGAAATGAACCATCATTTATAATACAAGAAACATTACTTGTTTTATTTATTATTTTATATGTTAATAAAAGCACTGGTAAAAATATGCTTGGTAGATCCTAATCTCAGAGACTTTAAAAAAATCTTCCAGAGATTTATTTACAATGTAAATATTTGAGGTAACATCGATAAATCTATTAGTATCAGCATTTTAAAATATGTATCTGTACATTCCAGACACATACTTCATATGAGCATGGATTTCACATTTCAGACCAATTTGTTAAAATGTTATCAAAACCTCTCCTATTTTTAAAAGCATTTAAAAAACACACTCTGTACCATTTCAGCAATTAGACATAGAATAGACAGTTTTCAAGCGATTACAGGGAGGATTTATTTTTTTAAAACATGTATCATTTTCAGAACAAGTGAAGCCCACAAAAATGCTTAATATTAATCAATACACTGTCTCGGAGTTTTCCCCTTCCTTATGACCATGGTAACAACTTTGTGTTTACTCTTCATCATCTTCATCATGGACATGCGTGATGTGTGGTGGGGTTGGAGGGCGGACATGCACAGGGCCAGATATGGTAGCCGCACGTGTCACATTCATCTGCTTGCCCTCCCTTTCAGCTATTTTACCGATGTCTTTGAGGGTTCGTTTGCGGGAAGTTCCTGGTGACAGCATAGACTCCATGAAGATGTCAGTGTGTTCAACAGTTGATTCATGAGGCATCTAAATAAAATTTAAAAAATACATCTGAAATGTGTTTTGTACTTTTAATCACTTATATAGTAATAATATGTTAGACTTGTATAGCGTTTCGTGCCAACAAGGCTGTACGGCATTCTTTCCTGCAACCTGCATATTGGCCATACTGCACACACCGGGACCAACGGCTTAAACATCCCTCTTCCAAAAGACCATACTTGCATTTCACAAAGACAGCAGCGATGGAATTGAACCAAAAATCAAGAGTTTAAAAGGACCTCAAAGAGAGTTCAAAAGGACCACAATGGAAATAAGTTTGACAATTGAGTTACTTTATTGTGTTTTTATCCTTGAAATTTTTATACTGTATATGAATTTCAAATAAAATGAAATGAAACGGTTCACACCCACAGTGACTATTACTGCCCAGTTCACTTCTAGAAGGACTAATTGGAAAAAGTCTTCAGACTTTTTTTGTGGATCCTTGATGTGTTTTATACCCATGAAAATTGTCTCTCTCTCTCTCTTTAAACATTTAGGAATAGTAAAAGTATAAAGAGAGGTACTCTAACATAATGATTTAAAACAAAACACAGTAGTAGGCATATATATTCAATGATTAGAAAAGGATTCAAATACAGGCAGCATTGGTAAGCATTCATGTGTTATACTACTTACCAGTTGATGGGGAGCTCTGAAGAGATAGCTGAAAGGGTAATGCAGGAAGTTTAGGAATGTCCCGGAGTACAGGTCAGCATACCGCAGCACTTGGCTGGCAAAGAATGTCTGACGAGATCCTGAAAGGATTAATGAATACGATTATAATTTCATAACAACAATATCAAAAAATAATAGCTAATAATAATAATAGCAAAAACAATAATAACAGCAGGAATGACAACAACATAATGATCAATTATTACTCCTGCATAACTACAATAATAATTATAACCATCATTATTGTACTGTATAAACATTAATACATGTCATTATTTGGCGAGTCGAAAGGTCGAGCAGTTGCCATAACATCCGTGCTGGTTCGAACAGCAAACTGACCTATGGTTCTGGTGGTGGAACACATCTTCTGGGATAAGGACTATAAACCATAGGCTCAGTGTACATAATCTGGCTCATTTGGCACTTTAAAGAACCCTAGACATTTTTCGAGATGAGTATGGGGTTACCCCGGTGAACTGGTTGACATTTCCCCCGTAGTGAACAGACCAGAGTAGCTGGTACCGGTTTACCGGGTATCCAGACATGAAGATACCATTGGGAAGAAGCAAGATACTGTACGAGCTAGTCCACACCTCAAGCGCTTTAAGTGCTTTATCAATCTAACTACAGTACATTACATTTTATTTTTTTTATTTCTTTACTCGGCAAACAAAACACAAACATCAAATGGCAAAAGAGCGAGTACAAAACAAATGTTGACAAATTGAACGAGGAAGAAGATACAAAGATCACCCGGATAACCCACGAAGTCGCCAAATAGCAACTTGTTTCTAATGGGTCCACATAAAGTTAAACAAATCTAAAATATCTTTCATTGTCGAAAATCTACAATTTAATAAGTCATCAACAAGGCAAGGCCATTACAGCAAAAAAAAAACAGAGTTATCTAGTTATCTTAGTATTAAGTAAAAATAACATGCTTACCACTCCTAAAAAGACTGCCTAGTTTACCATGACACATATCCATCTCATGAACTACATTCTGTTTAATAAAAACAAAGAGAAACACCATCACATGAATATTCATATCACTGTTATAAAAATGAATATTCATTATTTCTGCTTATTATCAATAGCACTGCATCATTGTCATCATCATTATTATTTCATTATCATCCTTTATCTGTTCCCTGACAGGTATACAAAGAGTATAGAAAATTTACCTGTATTGCACTCTTGATATGACTAATATCGGGTGTTTTATCTGTACTACTGTCCATGTTTCTAAAATAGAATGCAAAAAACATAAATTACAAAGAAACTGAACACTTCATCCTATTCATATAACAAACCGATGATGTCTTCGTTCATATAACTTTTTTTTTATAATAAATTTTTGTTGTTGTTGTTGTAATTGTAAGTTTGACCGCACCACAGTTTGTGAGTGTCACCGTTTCCAAGGTGAAGTGTCGCAAATAAATACATAAATAAAAAGATAGGTTAGAAGTTATTGACTATGTCACCTACTAGAGGTAATGTTTTGTGGTTAAACATTTTGGTAATTGCATATAAGCTTGCAAATATGAATAAATTTTCATTCCTGATGAGTACATAATTATTGTCGAAATATTAAATCCCAACACGATGGTGTGCATTTCAATAGTTGGAGTAAATATTATACTATCTTATCTGCCATTAATCAGTGGACCTTTCGGTTTAAGAGTAGCAAGTAATACAATTGTCCAATAGCCTGTGTAGGCTCTTGAAATGATTGGCATGGGACAGGTACATTATGCTAGTGGCTAGAAATGGTTATGCCTGATTTGTAATGTTTTCTATCATTATGTGGATAGAAAATTTGAATCCATAGAGCTAATAATGTTCTTACTTATACTTTTCAGCTAAAGCAGCATCCAGCCGTTCCAAATTTTCAAAAAGACCTGTTTAAAGAAGTGAAATGAGTTTCATTATGTGAATGGTTTTTCTTCACATTCAACAGCACATGACTTTTGTGTGAAAAACACTGAATATTTCCTACAACCAAAGCTTTGCAGGCGTCAACGTTCCTATGACATGATACATGACATCAGAAAATATAAGTTTGGGTCAAATATGTGTAGTGGTTTAATTCATGCTGTTAAAACAAAATGTTTGAAAACTTTTTCTTGACGGATGCGAAGTCACTTTAAATGTCCACACTCATACACACGCAAACAAAGTGAATAGAAAAGTTCCTATTGCATACATTATACATATGTGTGCACGTGGCTCTGCAGATACAGTACTTCAGTACTTGACATTTGGTTTCCCAAGATATCGTTCTTGTTCGTAACTCCCTGGTTATAATTAATTCATAAAATACCGTACACTAGGCTAGGGCGAGAGATGAAGCTGCATCTGCATAGCCTTTAAAAATAATGTGAGTAAACAACCGTAACTGTGGGCTGTCTATGTCTATAACTGCCCTCGGCTGTTGCTGCTGGACATGTTCTTCGTCTTTCCATTTTGGACAGCCTATTTTATTTTTGACCCTGGTGGTCGAGTGGTTAAGACACCTGGTTATTTATCTTGAGGTTGTGGGTTAGATTAACACCAGAATCACTTGTGTTTGTCTTTTTGCAAGCATTTGGGAACATACTGAGCATTCAGTACGATAACACAACAGGTAGGGAAAACATCGTACGGTGATAATTGCTACTAGAAAGAAATATTTACATAAAGGCAGCATATTTATAAAGCCATTTTTTAAATATTCTTAAATGTGTACAATGGGTGTAAAAGCTCACCATATCTACTTGGCGTAAGATGGTTCCCTCACCAAAGAACAGAGGCTTCCTGGCGTCAGTTATACATACGTCAAAATACTCCCACCATGGTTTCTGAAATAAATCAATTAAAATATCTTATAAATAATTGAATTGCAATGTTTAACATCACATGAAAAACTTGTCACTAAAATTATATCAAAAATTTGAATAAAAAAATAACTACTTACTGCTCCAGGGAAATCAAACAGGTAATGCATGATTTTCTGTTGAAAAAACAAAATAATTTTTAACATTGAAATTATTAAAACCAAATTACCACAAATCAACTATGTTGGTCCATTACCTTGACTCTTTTTTTCTTTCTTTAATAATTGCATTAATGGTGTTCATAGTTCTGATCTCATATCCATTATTGAATGATCTGTTAAAATTTATTGATATCATGATTCTGTTAGTTCCTTATTTAATGTTCAATTTTCTTGAGTTAATGCAACTAAATTTAGTGTTACTGTTCGATTACCTAAATTTTATAAATAGCTTGTTGATAAAGATAATTCTATTCAATATTTATTATGATTCGTTTAGAATGTTTAAATGTAAAATTAAGTTACATATTTAGAGCTGTAAACACATACCTTGGTGTAGTTATAATCACTATTGGTGACCAGGAAGACACTGCGATCGTGATCCTGCATTCTGAAAAAAAAGCATAATTTAATTAATAAAATAGCTTAAATAAAAAATACAGTAAATTTGCATTGGATTGCTAATCTCTGTAGGACTGATTTTTGGTATGTATCATAGTAACTTTCTGATTTCCTGCGGAAGGCACTACATAGCCTTTATGCAAGTAAGTTTTGTAAATAATGGTTTTATTTTCATAAGTGACAACCTGTAATGTTAGTTACAGTAGGTGCAAAAAAAAAACATACTGATTGTCCAGAAATAAAATGTTTTTTCTTGTTTATTCATAAAGCTAAAAACTGGAATTAGTGTTCCCTCCTAACACACACAAATTAGCTTTGTCTCTCTTCGTAGTAATGGCAACGATATTAATAAATATATGAGCAAATATAGCAATATAAAAAGTTATATAAATAGCAATATATAATATAAATAGCATTCCCACATGTAAGCTAACATTCAACCTTGCCATCATGTGATTACCTGGAATGGCATAACCTTACTTGGACATATACTGCATTGGTCAACTAGTAATACTCAAACATTTTGGATGACTACTCCCAATATTGAAATGACCATGTAAAACCTCTATCTGTGCCCACATCAGTCATCTGTGAACCAAGCAACTTCCCTTACATGAAGAGTCAATATCATTTACCCATGAACCTTAGCTGTTTAAGGAGAGTCACCATACAAATAATTAATAAAGCATTGCATGTCAATATCTATTGAATGATCCAGGTCAATAAATCTAACTTACCGTTGACAAGGACTAGGCAAGGAAATCTCCTGCAAAAATATTTAATGAAATGTGAATCCTATGATTCGAGAGGCAATTTCACATCCTGCAGCATATAAGTGGGCATAAAAATGGGTCGGATGTCCAACTCATATTTTTTATTTAACACCGAAGGCCGCAAGATAACATATGGTGAAAATGTTATATTGCTATGTGCTTACAAAAACTTCATACACATTATACTTGTTTATGCCCATCTTTGATGAATTACATTTGGCATTTGGTGTCAGGCCTTAACAACAAGTGGTTTTCAACCCAAAGATGGTATAGGTGGGATGCACACATAGGATATTTATTGTTAATATTTTGGAGGTTTACAAAAAAATATGGGACTAGGTTAGCACAATGAATATGAGGATTCCTCAATTGTACTATTATTTGTAATGAAATGATAATTATAAAGATAATGGTGACAGAGATGATGATTATTATTATGAATATTATACTGATTATGATGATGACGATGATGCTTGCAATAATGTTATTGATTGTGGTGGCGGTTCCTACTAACAAACATTACAATGATGATGAATGATAATGAGTGACGACACTGTTAATAACAATTTCTATTTAAAATCAAACTTAACCTGGACTTACAATATCCATTGTTTGATTGACAGATTGATTGATTGATTGAGTGATCAAACCTCACAATTTGTACTGAGCTTTCAAAACCCAGTCATTCACCTTTTTCAATATTAAAGTTCCAAAATATTGATTTGGTCTACTTGGTGGTGAAAAGTTCACTATACTTAAACTAACCCAGCTATTGACCAATCAGGAAGCACACATCACTCCATACGGTTTATGGTTTCCTGCGATATGTCAACAGGACTTTAATGACAAATAACAATTTCCTGAGATGTACATTAAGCTTATTTGATCTAGGGTTACTGAAAATATCAATTTATTTAATTCAGGATGTTTTTGGGATGATTATTATGCTAGACAGTTTCCATAGATACAGCATATTTTCCATAAAAGGGTCATAAACCTTTAAAAAAATGCAATATTTCATAGATTACCGTACAACCCCCATCAAGTGGACACCTTTGGGACAAAAAAAGTGTCCCCTTATAATACTGTACATGTGTTCTCTGAATAGGGCTTGGCATTAGTGTTAAAAGATATACTTTCCATCATTTAGTCCTCTATATAGGGATGTCCCCTAAATATGGGTGTCCCTTAATAAGGGTGTCCCTAAATAGGGATGTCCCCTGAACAGAGTTGTCCCAAATGAAGGGGTTCTACTTTAATTGAAAATCTTACTACCAGGCTATAATAATATTGTAAATAAATGTATTATAAAACTGTGCTTTGTATTAACACATGGAAAAATGTGCCATATAAATGACTAACAATTTAAAAATAAAATGCTTGATTGCAATTAATTAAAAGAAAATAATATAAACACTTTAAAAGACAACTAGGTTTTAGATGGAGATTACTATTTCAGTTGCACTGAATCAAGCAATTGATATTTCCTTAGAATGATGAGTGGAAAATCAATAACTTCTGGAGTACGAGGGGCCTTTCATTGATTGTGTCGGTGTCAGACAGCATCCAAATATATCATCACTGAATATACGGTAATGTGTGAAGCAATGATCAATTTAAAAGGCAATATCTATTGCAGATCATCATTGTGCAAACATAACAATTATTTTCTTTTATTTATCGTCTTTTATCTCATCGTCTCCTATGATTTTAATATATTATTATCAACGCTGTCCTTTTTCTATGTTTTCAATCATATTTTTAATGTTTTTAAACTGTATGTTCTTGATAGCTTCAATTTTTTGACTGATGCTTTTTAATTTGATTGAATTGTAAATTAGTATTCCAATTCCTAACCTGAAATTACCAACATGGTGGCTACAGACCATTACATCTATTTTTAAACCTAGAGTGACCTTAGTGGCTACAGACCATAACACCTCTGACTTGGAGTGACCTAAGCAGTGGCTACAAACAATGATATTTATAACCTGAAGTGACCTACAATATTAATAGCAAATTCACTAATCAATTATTCATCTTTCTCTAACCCCTTACAGAGCATGACATGTGCATGATATACAAATACCTGACTGTAAGAAACTGGAAACCTGTATGAATACGTAAAAAACACTCCCTCACTACTTGCATAGCAAAAACTTAAAGTTAAACCAGAGCTGGGGTAAATTCCAAACCTGGATGCAGTACATTAATATTCTCTAGGATTTGTCAATTCCAAACCTGGAATTGACAAATCCTAGAGAATATTAATGTACTGCATCTATTGTTATTTCAATTTCAGTTCCATTAGTAGTTTGGTAATTGTTTGAAATAAAAGAAATTGGTAAAAAAAAATAATAAATAAATGCACCAACATCATAATAAGCAATTAGTAGAGCTCCGCATAGTACACTATAGGAAAATTATTGTACGAAGGTTAGATTTAATGCTTGAAAAAATTTCCTGAGGGCCTGCAAGGCCCGAAGGAAATTTTTGAATGCATTAAATCTAACCTAAGTATAATAATTTTCCGTTTAGTGTACGCTCTACTAATTGCTTTATAAGTCCAACCAACTTGTTGTAGCAGCTATCGGTTGCTATAGTGATATGATCAGTATACGTGTGCGTATTTACATTTAGCTGTGTCTATGCTGATTTTTGCTCCTGCAGTATGTGTTTAACTCATCTAACATCAGCAGTACAGTGGATACGATGAATAGGCCTAACTATTGTGTTAAAGAACTTGTTTGTAATGCTATATTGATAGACTTTCATCAAATAAATAAACATTTCAGCATTCGAGAGGGAATACAGTGACTGACGTCCTTTTTGGTCGGTGCATGCAGACAGGTAAAATCGTGTGATGATTTCATATCTAGGCCAGGCTGCGGCCTATGCCTAGTAATAGAAGGAGGAGGCCGTAGGCCTACATCTAAATGTGTTCCTTGAGTCTTTAAAATAAGTCTAGAATATTTCTATTAAACGTTCAGTTTGTTGTGTTTATGAGGGTCCATTGATTCAATGACTTCCTTAATTGTTCATACTTAATATTGAATTTGAAGTAACTTTCTTCAGGTTCTAATTAAGCTTGTTTTACGAAAGAATTTTCAATTACAATTCAATTTTTATCGCGGTGCGCGATGTATTCGTGGTGGTGACGAAAAAAAATGAGATTTTTTTTTTGCACACGAACCTTAAAAAAATCAAGCCGAGCGTCCAATAATAAAAAAAATCATTGGACGCTGGGGGATAGGCAAATAACATTGCGAGTTACAGTGATGACGTCACGATTGACTTATAAATGCTTTTATTAGTACAAGGGGCAGATGGGGATTAGCCTTTGTGTATAATCTACTATGGCTTGATATTTGTTGGTCAATGGAACTCACCTTTGTAGGAGGACTGGTAGCTGAGGATCCTTAACTACATATTCTTCAACATTTTCTACAGTCTTATTCTTTAAAGCTCCCTAGAAAAGACACAAGTAACAGAATTTTGTTATGTACAGTAAAATATAGTAATTGAAATAACATAGGAAATTACTTCAGGTCTTCATATTATCCCCACCTTGGCATGAATCCAGTCCATGGCGCCCCGGACATCTTGGAACACGCTTTCCCATGACATGTAGAGGTCGCCATTCTTAACACCCTTCGGCATTAGCTGGTAGTCCTGTGAGCTGCTGAAGAAATCAACTAAGCAAGCTAGCAGATATGTTTCTGAAACAGATTGATGGAGAATTAATTAACTAAACAAGATACAGTAGCAGATGTTTTTTGAAACAGATTATGAAAGGATTAATCAACTAAGCATTGCTGGCATGCACCTGAAACAGACTCTATCAAGATGCAACTTAAGGTGATTGTGAAAGGATTATTCAAATACAGTAATATAGTGATATAGATCAATATTGGTAAATGCTAATCATCCATATGATAGGAATTTCAGGATTAATCAATAATATGTATTTTTCAAATCTTCAGAATACATTTATCATTAAATAAAAATCTTTAGTAAGGTCAGAGGTAGGGAAGGACAAGGAAGAAATTTTATCCTTAGATGTAATCATATTTAAGATTCAAATTGTTTCGTGAAATACCAAATCATCATGAATTGTCAAACAAATAAATTAGAATCATTAATTTCCAAAATGGGTGTCACATTTGTATTGGATATTCTCTTAGTTCTACAGAATGTATATTATTCTTGTCTCGTGTTATGGAATTTCACACTCCAGGTAATTTCACTATGAATAATCTGTCCACTGAAGTGTAGGAAACACATGCAAATCCATATCATGCTTCAATTCGACATAAACCTTATATACACTTGGCAACCCCAGCAATTTACAAAGTAGGCCCCAACTGTAAAGCCTTTCTACTTCCCTTTTACCAAAGTTGTTGGATTATGTCATTTTATTATATACACTACACATATACCCATAATAGATGGCCAAAACCCCAATTTGTTGTTTTAGGTTTGTTTCATATTGTCTGCATTGCTTCTCCTGGTACCTGGAATTTTATTAAAAAGGTACTGTATGCAGATAATTGTAAAATGAATGCCCATGGAGAGGAAATTTTTTCTGTACATTGTGCATGGTTGCCTGTGAATATCTTGTACAATTTGGTAAATTATACATATTTTAGAGCTTTAAGCTTCTGAATCTGAGAACTGTATTGACCACTTTACCATTAATTTTACCTACACTACAGCTTTCTGTTTTCCAAACTTGATTCATTTGAATTAATACCCTATTTTTGCACTCACCTGGGAGGTTGAACAAGGTGTTGAGGACATAGAAACGGGCTGGTTCTTTGGATAATGAGATGAATTTGTTTGGGTAGCATTCACTAAGACCGTGGGATGAGATGAACTTAAAGCCATGGACACAAACCAATATGTAACCATAGGTATCAATCTGGAAAAGAACATAATTATATATAAATTTATTTGAATGGGAAATGAGCTCATTTATTTTTAATTATACTATATTTTGTGCTACCTGTAGATTCTACTAATACTGTATATATTGAATAGACTATTATAATCACAATTGAAATCAGTAAAAACTGAACTATACTGTAGAACATGCAAAATGATAATGATACCGTATTTAATGAATAAATGGATTGGCTTGGATTTCTTCGGTGTGATACACACCAAGGATAAGCCACAAAAGTCCCGAGACTGGGCAGTACACCCGAAGACAATCCCCAATTCTTTTCCAAAGAGTGTGTGTGTGTGAGCTCTTTAAAATGCATATGAGCCATTTTGCCCACAGGCCCAATGGCTTATAAGTCTCTTCCAAAAGAAAGTGTACTTTTTAAACTTGCATTTCAGTCTTCCAACTGAAACACAAGGACAGCAGTGATGGGTATTGAACCGGGGACCAAGAGATCTCCACGGTTCAGCGCACACGCAGTGGCTACCTGAGAGCAGCTTAGCTCAGTCAGCTAATCTGGTGGTAGCCGCTGTGTGTGCGCTGAACGGTGGAGATCTCTGGTCCCCGGTTCAATTCCCATTGCTGCCTCTCCTTGTGTTTCAGCTAGAGGGCTGAAATACAAGTTACAATAGCGCACCGTCTTTCAGATGAGACTTTTAAGTTGTTGGTCTTGTGTGCATTATGGTCCATGTGCACGTTAAAGAACGCAGCACACTCTTCGGAAAAGAGTATGGGATTGTCTCCCGGTGTACTGCCATATCACCACCAGAACGACCCCACTTCTAGACTTTCATTGGCTATCCTTGGTGTTTACACTGAATAAATCCAATCCAATCCAATACCAACAGTTTAGCCGACTAAACAGCAGCTGCTCTCTCTTAGGTGGGAGTTGTGATTACCTTGAGTAGATTGCCATATTTCTTGTCAAAGATGAGACCTCTGGTTGGAAAGGAAGGATCATATTGGAAACCTTCTAATTCCTGGGGGTAACCAATTGAGATGAGGCGTTTCACAACCAGATCAAAACCCATCTGCTCATACTGAGGTGATTTGTAAACTGCACAATAAAGAGAAAAACACCCACAATTGATTTTAAATTATCATCATTAGTGTTACCAAATCGTGGAAATTGTATTAATATCATTATCATAATTCTACACAAACACTGGACAAAATTGATGACTGCAGTATTTATAGTACAGTAATATTAATTATAATCAACAATAACCAGATTAATGAATAACAATTTAAAAATGTATCACTAATAATGATAAAGTAATACAACAATAACACAATAGAAATAATAAACAATAATAATATATTCTTCCTACTCTATAGTTACATCTCTCACAATGCACAGATCAACTCTATTAATTTTGTATGTAGCACACTGTATTCAAAAATTGAATACAAGGCCCACATGGCCCAACATAGAAGTGGTTGGCGCATCGGTTGTGGTTTGGACTCCCAACCTCGAGGTCGGGGGTTCAAAACTCTCGCTGTGCAAGTCGCTTGTGTCCTTGGGCAAGGCACTTTATCTACGGTTGTCTCTCTCCACCCAGGAGTAAAAGTGGGTACCTGGTAGGTTCAAACACAGCCTGCGCTGAATACAGCTGCAACATTATGGAATTCCCCTATGGGGCCTGAGTGTGTGTTACATATGTGCTTGATCCAGTGATCCGGGGTAATAATGTTCAGCGCATAGAGAAGTTTGATTGCGCTATATAAGTATACAATAATAATAACATGTAACACATGCCTGGCACGCACAAGTACCAGATATCACACCAGGTATATACATACCATCACCATACTTTTACACGATTACTCTATTAATAGTGGTGGTAAGGATCTGGTTAAAATGAGTTTGGAAAATGAATGTGCATTTCTCTTGTCAACTGTAAGCTGGAGACATCCCAGACAATAAACTTAAGTTTTTCTTTTTAATTAATTGACTAGAGTACTGTACTATTTTTAATGTCTGTGCATGTTTTTGTTCGGCATTGTATGCTAGATGCTTTCATTGATGAAATAGAGTACTGTACAGTACAATTTTTAATGTTTGTGCATGTTTCTGTTTGGATATTTTCCTGTTTGGCATTGTATGCTAAATGCTTTCATTGATGAAATAGAGTACTGTACTATTTTTAATGTTTGTGCATGTTTTGTTCGGATCTTTTCCTGGTTTGAAAATGCTTTCATTGATGAAATAGAGGATGACATTAAGTAGGTTCCTTAGTGATTGAGCTTGTATGCCAAAGGAGGGGGAGGGTTTGATCCCTAATGAGATCTTTTTTTTAAATGGCACTCTACGACTGTGAAAGACATGTCTTGGCTTTGTGTACTGTAGGCCTAATTTTAAATTTCTTTTTAGTCCAACTGCCCGACAAGCTCTCAGTGGGGGCATAAGCCCCCCCTGGCCCACTGGGGTTGCCACTGACTGTAGGGATTATTGACCGAGCTCAAATCTAGCAAAAAATCTTTCAATTCCTAAACTGCATTGCAATGAGTAGGTTCCTGTCACAATGTACTGAGTAAAATCAATGATGACAGCTGGAATAAGGGATGGCTGATGGCCATATGATAAGGCATGGCTCTATACAGAGGCTATCAGCTTTCATCTTAGTGTACATAAAAGTTACAATGGCAGAAAATCATCAATATATTTTCCATATGTCAGATAATATCATTAGCATACAGTATTTATCATTAATGCTGTAGGCCTATCATGGTGTAAAGGAAATGAGCAAACAAAAAATTTTAATCACTTTAAAAACAGCATTAAAATAAATAAACAAAATGAAATAAACAAACAAAATGAAATAAATTTTTTGAAAAAACCTAGGAAGCTATTTTAAGCTTGGTGCTACCTGTCATACGCAAGAAGAAGAAAAATTGCAATTTTACATTCCAAAATTACATGGATAATAAGAATACTAGCATAGATTAATAAGAATGACTTAGGCCAATGGAAAAAAAATAGTTTCTCGTCCTAATATTTTGAAAAAAGGAGAATAAGGGCACTTTTTATTACTCCGAGATGACAAATGCAAGATGGTCGACAGGAAACAGCTACTACTTTTTAATTTTTACCAAGTAGACACATTGGAAAGCAAAACTCAAAATAAAAACCAACAGTTAGCAAACTGGTCACATTGGTAAAAAAATTCATTTTTGTAACTTAAGTTATTTCCTGTTAAGAACTAAATACTGTAAAGACAAGGTTTACTTACCAGCAAGTGTATGGTCCAAATCAAAACCAAAGAACTTTATTTTGTCCAGACTCAAACTTCTGTTTACGAAGATTCTGTTTGGAGCTTCACGGCGGTATTTCTTTTGGTAGTGAGGCTTTTCATCTGAGTGCTGCATTATGTTGGTGTGGCCGTTAGAATGACCGTTTCGGTTCATTTCAATCAACTACAAACAGATTGGAACAATGTTTAATACCAAATGTTAATATCGTTCAAGATACACACTGTATTACTCTACTAGTTCTGAATGATCTTCCTAATTTTTATAACTCCCTGGATCTTTTGTGTTTTTTCTTTCTCTTTGATGGAGACTTTAATTAAGTAGAGGCCCCTGACTCATTGAAGTGTACAATTTTGTTACCTGGGCCTTAACCAGAATCGTCCATTGAACAACTAGAATTCGGAGTGTGGAGGGGGATTCAAAACCATGTCAATGAACGTACAGTACAGTAATAAAAAATAATGTGTCAGATTTATAAGTTCTTCAGTGACACATGATTAACAATAGTAAATTAAAGCAGCATAGGCCTTCTAGACTAGCCTATATTTTGCACACAATTACCACAACCACCTGCTCCTGACAAAGAACTGTGTAGGCCTACTGTATTGTCTTACAATGTTTACAGCAGACCTTGGCTGCTGTACATCTCTGCTTTAATTAATTAATAGTCAATAAATTGCTTTGTTTACTTTATCACATACAATTACAAACATACAGGTAGATAAATATTCATGAAATCTAGGGCGTTTAACCTATCTTTTAACATTGCAATTTTCAAAGTTCAAACGATAAAAGGTAGTGGAAATTGAACAGATGCGTGAGTACATTTTTTCTTTTTTTTTTCTATTCTTGAAAGCAGGAGGTGTTTGCAAAAACTTTCTTCACACTTCAGGCAAATTTGCCCAGCACGTCGTGTGGGCATTGGCATTAACCTACTCTAAATAAACCTAGTACAGGGCCTTTATAACGTAGGATAACGTACTGTTTGGAACTTGTTATTATGAGCAGGGATGTACAATTCATCTTTTCACTTTTAATTTGCGTTGCTGATGTGGCAAATCAGACCCTAGCCGAGTTAGGCTACGCCCTACCACCCCTTCAATCATTAGTATCAATGCCAGCCTACCGTACAGACAATACCGGAAATTTAAAGCCGAAGGCTTCTGAAAGTTTGACACAATGACAGATAGCAATTTGTCGAAACTGCTGGCCTAGCCTAAGCAAATAGTAGCCATATATATATATATATTAGTGTACTTACCTCTTCGTTATATTACGAATGCTTTTTCTGCAATTTCTGGAATAGTATTTATATCTCTTTCTTAGTAGTAGTAGTTTTCAATACAAAGAATCTCCGCCGTCCTATCACAAACAACCAGAACAACAAGTATGAAGATTTGATCGTGAACGTACGTTTGTCCAGCACAAACAGCTGATCGTTGAGTTGTGAAAGTTGAGGGCGAACAAAGGTCATTTTGTACGGGTGGTTGTTATCGATAATCGACTAAACAAAGACGATTATTTCGAATCTCTGTTCAGAAAGTACGGAAGAAAGCACCAATCTTTAGTACCATGAGAAATTTAAGCAATACTCAGTCAGTCTAAGTTGAGTTACTGCGAAAAATTGATAGCAAGACTATAAAATTACATTTGAATAAACTGAAATATATTTGAGTAGTGAACCACTTTAAGCTCATTGATATTTCGCAATATTTTTTGAAATATTACAATTGACTGCAGACACAGAATTTTAAATCTATTTTAATATTACAGTATTGGTTTTTTTTTAAAATTAAATAAGAAAACACAATTTTGACACGAAATTGGAAACATGTAACTGAACCACCTTCAGGCTAACCCATAAAATATAATAATTTTGATGTACTTGGAATTTACTATAATACCTCCATGTTGGAAGTAGGCCTAAATGATAATTTTTTATATGCCTTAATTTTTAAGTTTTATTTTTTGAACGATTAATAATTTTTTAACAAAAGAACAAGGTTTAGTAAACCACTTAGAGCTCATTATATATTACTCAACTGACTGTATCATAGAGAGTCTCTATGACTGTATTCACTTATCGTCCATGTTGAATTTAAACTATAATGTATATANTCTGTCTCTTATACACATCTTTTTATGCAAGGCATGCACATGTAAGCAGTGTTGTACTTCAGGGATTCCACCACATGGAGTTGTATCATCGTCATTGTCATGTTTATGTTATATTTTTTGAAGTAAAATAAAAATAAACCAAACAAAACAATACTTTTAAGTAAAAAATAAATACTGTACTTCTTTATTATGAACATCTTTATTTATATTTTATATCTATTTATAAAGTGTTTGTTACCAATATAACAATAATAGAAAATACATCACATACAGGGTATTATACAAATTTGAAAAACAAAATTTAAAACTCTGTAAAAGGAAGATTTAAAAATTAAAAATGTTAAAATCTTAAAATCGTTAGTATCATAGTGCTGTATAAATCTACAGTTTGAACTTTGACATTTTGTCTGTGACACTTGGGAGCTTTAGATAGCACGATGACGGTAGGGCGTAGAACGTAATGACCTCACTAAAAGTTATCTGAGTGCTCATACGAGAACGTTAAGGTCATCTCGTCGAGTAGATTCTGGAACGCAATTTTGGCCAAATCTACATATGCAGAGAACGTATGGCGCCAGGTAGGAGGGTCACGCATGAGTGATTCCGTTCTAGCGTCGTGTCGTCGCACAAATTGAAAGCTCCTTAATGTGTGGAAACAATCTACACAGATCCAAGATTGTACATAAACAGTACTTAAAAGTCACAAAACAAGTGAATCATAAGCTTTTTCACTCTTGAGAATAAGTCAAACTTAAGTATCTATCACTGAAAAATCTCAATCCCTACAATACTTTGGTCCCATTGCTGGTTTTTTTTTAAGACTCGTGTGAAATGAAGCTGATAGATTCTTTGAACTCTTTAAGTCCTGTCAAGACTATCAAATTTTACCTTAAAAAAACCGCTATATTGCCAGCCATATATAGTCATGGTGTGTCTATATATGGTCATGATGTGTCTATATATAGTCATGGTGTGTCTATATATGGTCATGATGTGATGACATTATGAACATATGTAGGCATATCATATGTTAGAATAGACTTGCTCTTCCACCAGATGTCATCACAACCTGTTGCTGGCTTAAAAGATTTAATCTTGTATGCCTTTTGAAAATTTTACCTTGATAATCCATTCTTAAAAATAATACTGTAGTACCTGCAACTTGTTTAAATAGTGGCGGCAGCAGCAGGGGGGAATTTGCCATCCCATTGGACAGATCTGGACCACCCTGTCGTCTTATGCCACGCTAGGTCGTCCAACACTACTCTAGGTTGTCGGATCAAAAATAATTATTTGCCTATCCAAATAAAACTATTTTGATTGCTGATCCCTAATATTGTGGTCTAAAAACACATGGACCATAATATGCCATAAAAACTCTCCCTTTGAACCCTACCAGGGATTTTTAATTCCAGGCCGTCGACTGAGGCTCTAGTCAGCCTCTTGGGTCGGACCCTTCCGTCAGACAAGTCGGACCCCTTGTCGGCAAGTTTCTGGCTCCACTGCTGCTTTTAAAATATCTTCTGTCTTCAGTTATTTTCATATTACTTTTACAAATCTTTTTTTACAAATACAAATACTGTATGTGGCCATATACAGTCATGATGTGCAAATATATTCATGTGCCCATATACAGCATAGTCATGATGTGCCTATATATAGTCATGATGTGCCTATATATGGTCATGATGTGCCTATATTATCATGATGTGCCTACATTATAGTCATGATGTGCCCATATATAGTCACGATGTGCCCATATATAGTCGTGATGTGCCCACATAGTCATGATGTGATGTAAATCTAATGTTTCTTTCAACTAAAATTTGACAGGGCTTAAGGTGACTAGAGATTATTATTAATAATAATTCTACATTAGCAAGACTTGGCATCAAGATTCTTCTTTGGAAATATGTTTACTCTACAATTCAGCAGAACAGCTTCACTAGAGGGCAGCACACCACAACCTATAAGACAAAAAATGAATATATGTAAATTGTACAAGTGTAACTTGTAAATACAGTAGAAGTACAAAATAATGAAAAACAAGCAATGATCTTACAGGATACAATTTGTAGTTATTAAGAGCTATGATTACAAATCACATTGATGAGCATATTTTTTAATTCCGGGATAAAATCACTATGAAAATCACATACTATATGCCTACTGTAACACTGACAGTAATATTATTTTACATGTATCTGTAATTAATATATTATCAATGAAATTACAAACAATGTATGAAATATGAACTCACTATATTTGTAAGACGGTTTCCATTATAG